AAAACAACCCTGATCCTCCCCGCAGATCCTTCTTGCCACCTACTCTCCGTGCCCGCCGCCGCCCGACCTCCTACCCACTGCGCCGCTGCCCGGCCTCCTTCCAGCGCGCCGCCGGCCGGCCTCCTCCCACCGTGCCTCTGGTCGGCCTCCCCCCAACCGCGCCGCCTCCCGGCCTTCTCCTCGAGCGCGCTGCCTCCCGACCCTCTCCCCATCGCCGGCAGCGTCTCCATTCTGCTCCGGCCGCCTCTCTCCCTCCGACCCCTATAGGCGCGCGCGCGCGACGCAGCTTCGCGAATCCAGCCCACTTCCCGATCCCATCTCCTCCTACAGCGAGCCACCACCGCCGTTCGCCGCCACCCCATGCGCCGCCGCCGCGCGCCGCCACCCCTCGCCCCGCCGTCGCGTGCCGCCAGCCCACTTCCCCTTCCTACGCATGCTGCTGTGAGGTACGAGGCGGAGGACGGAGCGGCGACACACGCGCTAGGGATGCAGAGGACAGGCACAACGGCGACGCAAGGTGGTGGTCATGGCGGTGATGCGCCTGTGCGTCGCCCAATCCCCTGCTGACCGCCGCTCGAAGCTGCCCTCCACGCCGCCGACTCATCGCCGGCACAGCCCCTCTGCTTCCTCCCGTGTGGCCTTCTTCCTCAGTTTGCTACTGACTCATCGGCCGTTCTTCTTCGCCAACACCTGAAGGTCCTGTTTCTTCATCTCATCATCTTCATTTATTTTCGCTGCTCGCTTGGCAGTTCATAGACAAAAAAATTGAACGGGGGTCTCTAAATATTTTCTTGATATATGTCTAAACATGACCAACTTTGCCATGTTTTCTGCTTGTATGTGTGTGGTTGAACTATTTAGCTTTTGAGTGAAGTTCAAACTTCATATGTGTAAAGGTCGAATCAAATTCAGTTTTGTACATATGAGGTTGAGCCAGTTTTTTAGGCTACTGAAACCAATCATTTGATAGGGAATTCAAAAAGAACAGTATATATGAGCATACGTGAAGTTGAAGTTCTTGGTTCAGGAAAGTAGACATCCCTATTTTACACTCTTCTATATTTTCGGTCACAGAAACATTAGGAAGAAAATGCTCAATCGAGAAGTTCACACACTACTGTCTCAAACGTTCGGACGTTTTTTCCGTACGCAAAAATCGAATATAGGTTAATTCCCCATGAAATTCGCTTTGTTGCTTTTCTTCCTCACCCAGCTATGTTATGCAAAAAATAGTTCAATTTTGCTAATTCGTCCAGTTTTGATTAGATAAATTTTGTAGTTCATTTTTCTGATTCCTACTGACTATAGTTTCTTTTGGTTTGTTGTAGCAGATCAAGCTAAATTCGAGAGAGAAAAAAATCAGTTCACCTTTGTGTGTTTTTTCAGATCATCTTACATGTCAAGCACCAAACCGACACCGCGGCTTCTGCTGCTGGTGCTAGTGTGGATGTTAGCAAGTTCAACTACCAGCCTACGCCGAGTTTAGGTACATTGTCGTGGACGGCCAAGTTCAGGGATGCCTCTGTGCCTAAGGCAAGTTGACGCACTTTAACCAGTTCTTTGTAATAGTCCTATTTATTGCTTTGATCTTGTACAGCAAGGTGAGAACATATCTATTGATCTGACATGTTAATTAGGGATTTAGTTTTCTCTCGTTCTTCTAGGGGAATTAACCTTGGGCGGTGGGTAGCACATAAAATGCATGCCCGCCATATGTTCGCTATATTGCTGCAGTAGGATTTTAGATTTTTCGTTCTACCTTGGATGCACTGAATACGTGACATGTTGTGAAATAATTAAGTACGGAATTCTGAGGCTGTATGATCTATTAACAACATGAATTGCATTTTTTCATCCTTACTGGATGCTGAGGATGGCTAGATTATATTTGGCATTAGCACCATCGGCGTGTATGCAAAATCCTCTTTTTTCTCAATTATGGTTAATGCTATTGTATGATACATAGAAATTGAGATATGAGGGCACTCTTGCTGTATACACATGGTATGACTATTCTGAAAAATCTAAAATTATAAAAGCAGATAAGTTCACGGGTTCACCGGTGGAAGTTCAAGGAATAAAAGATCAAAGAAAAGGAGAGTTCAGAAAACGGTAGTACTGTCTGCTGTTGGCTGATGTCTCCTGTTGCCTGAAGCCCCTGCTGCTTGCTAGCTACTTGTTGTGCGTGCGAGTTTGTGTGCTGCTGCTGTTTGTTGCTGCAGCAGGGTGATGTGAGAGAGATAGATAGATAGCAAATGGAATGATCTTCCACATTGACTAACTCGTGACACACTTGGTTCAGTTTCTAAATTTAATCTAGTTCAATTAGAATTTTAATTCAGTTCAAAGACTGTTGCTATTTATCTCCTTGATGTTCAGTTTTGTGTTCTGTTGTTTGCCCCAATTGATCCTTGTGTTAATGTTTGTATATGTTGTGCACTTCTGATCCCATAGTGAAGTGAAAAATGACAAGCGAGCTAAGTACTAGTTCGGAAAGTTTGCAAGTTTGAACACATAAACCTAAAAAAGTTCATTGAAAAAGTTTGGTTTGCCTGTTCCGTGAAAATGTCTTGCTAAAGAAATATCTCTTGTGCACTTATTTATTTCGCGCCCCGCCGCCGCCTGCCATCCCGCGCACCGCCCGCGTCCCGCCGCCGCCCGGCCACCCCGCGCCCCGCCGCTGCCCGAGCCTCCTGCCAGCTACGCGCCCCGCCACTTCAGCGCGTAGGCCGTTCAACTCCGACACCCAGCGCACGTGGAGAACTACAAAAGAGGTTCAGTTTCTGAACTTTTGAACGCCAAGAGGTTCAGTTCGGAACTTGGTATGGTGGGTGTACTACTGATAATCTCAAACTTGTTCCTCTTAACTTCAGTAGAAGAATTTCTGGGAATAGATAAATGTGTGTATGCAAAGTGTTGTGTGATGGGATGTGGCCTGTGGCTGGGTTAATTAGCTAGAGATCTCAATTAGCTATGCCGGGGCAGATCCTTTGTGTCTGTACAGTTTAGGCCAAGAAGAGAAGCAAACGTGCTACTCATCATTTGCCATCATCCATCTCTACTCAAATTATGTTCATCTTTTTCAGTTCATCTTTGAAATTTCGGTCCATTTTCTGTTGGCAGGATGCGTAAAAAAAGTCGAAGGCAGCAACTCAAAAATAGATGAATATTGGAAGGAAGATGTATAAGGCTGAGAGGAAATATCATCTTGAGGTCCGTTACCCTTCAACTTATAGACATATATGCTCAGTTATTGTTGTGTAACATAGAGTTACCCTGGATGTAAATGCTCCTTCTCTTGTGTATTTCAGTTCAACATTTGGTGTTTCTTCAGGTCACTTTAGCGTGCATTTTCAGTACATCTTCCAGGTGAAGGAGCTTCCCTTCAGTTAATTTTGTTTATGTAGAAAAAAGATTGTGTCAAAAAATTGAAGGCATCAGTTCAAAAGGGTATAAGGCTGAGAGGAAGTGGTCTCAGGTCACAAAATTTCCACTGAGAAAAAATAGCCACAAACAGGTTGAGTTCACTACACAGAATCTGTTTGTTCAAAAGAGAAACAAGCTCATTATTACAACCCGGTGAATTCACAAAGGAAAAAAAATGGGAATTAAAAGAAAACTTGTAGAAGTTTGTTGTATGCAATTCTGAATGTTCGAGTCCCAAAACGAGAGAAGTACAAAACACCGTTGCAAAAAAAAAAAGATAAAAAATAAACACACAAAGCATTTTATTTTTGGAAAAAATATCATTCAGTTCAACGATATAAACCATATAAGTTCAAGGACGATGATAACATAAACCATTGAAAAGTTATGAGGATAATCATACAAAAAAAGTAGAGTAAAGTCCAATCTATGAAAATACATCAGTACAAAAAAACACATATATCAGTACGAGTACTCTGTTTTTCAGACAGAAAAATAACACAATGAGAGAAATTCAAAATGATAAAAGTTCAAGTGGTAAAATGAGAGAAGTCCAACATATCTTCGCACAACAATGTTGAGTTCAAAAGAAAATACAAAACATTTTCATTTTATTAAAAATTCATTTAGTTCACATTTTGAATATATACTAATAAAATGTGTGGTGGCATTGTCCACATTTTGAATTTAAACCACTAGCTTTTTTATACACAAGGGCTTGTCCTGGGAGAGCCCTATATAGGCATGAGCACTACTGCTACAAACTTTAATCCCCCATTTTTCGGCCTGTAGAGCATTAGAAAAAAGTTCAATTTTGAAAATTCATTCAGTTCTCTGGTTAGTAGACTAGTGGTTCATCTTGCTAAATCTTGTGGTTTAAAGTTTCTTTTTTGTTACAGCAGTTAAGTGTGTATTTTAAGAAGAAAAACCAACAATGGCGGCTGCACTGGAGCCGCAGGACTACTATTGCTGATAGGTTTGTGAACTAATAAACATTCTTTTTATGTTCCCGTGATGTTTCATATTTTTGTGAACTGGTAGTTGATGCTCTTTGTGGACTGATAGCTGATACTTTTTGTTAACCGATAAACTGAATAAATGAGATGGATGTATTATGAGGCCGCGAAAATGATGTAAAAATATGTGCAGTTCAGCGGATGAGTATTATGCATGTCCTTCTAATCTGAAGGTAGTGGCACCACTAAGAAAAACAAAATAATCAGTTTTTTGTAGCCACGGAATGGGCATTTGGCTCAGTAATCTTCCATTGCTAGAGGTACTGCCTCTTGAGTTAATTTATGAAACTGAAATCATCCTTTTTATGTTTTTGTGTTGTCAAATAAAACCAATTTTTTTGGACATGCAGCGCTCAAGCCGTTCACCCTTGCCACCACAAGCCGTTCACCTGCGCCACACGAGGCCGTGCGACGACGCAATATCAGAACGTTCACCTCTGCCACAGGAGGCCGATGCAACGCTAAGAATGTTTTGTTCTTTTTCAGTACATGTTTTGTGTGCTTTTTAGTACACCTACTTAACGATTCTATGTCCAATTTCCCCTGTTTAAGTGTTCTTCCTATAGCACAACATGAGTTGTGTGTTATGCCTTCATAAGCATTTGAGAAAACCTTGTATGGATCGAAACTAGCATATGTTATGTTCTATTCTTGTAAATGAAGCTCCACTTTTGTTTTGTTTGAGGTACTTGACATAAAAATTAGTATATGTTCTATTGTAAAAACATATCTAAAATGTCATGATGCATGCTAGCAGAAATCTGAAAATACACTCAGCTCAGTTCCTATATTTTATTTCAGTTCAATTTAGAACTATTTGCAACTGTTTAGACTCGAGTGTTTCTATATTTTATTTCAGTTCAATTTAGAAGTATTTACAACTGTTCAGACTTGAGTTTACAATAGAAAAACATTTGGAAGTTTAGTGAGCGAAAATACTTGTTAGATTCATTTAAAAAGTGTCGTACAGTTCAACTTTTATATATAATAAATTCGTAATGAAATGTGGAAACAATTCAATATGTGTGTGTGTTAAAAACATAACAGTACAGAGAAATTTGGTACGTACTCATCAAAAAAAATCGCATCAGTTTGAGAGGCACGGAAAAGAAAATTTGGTGCCAATAAAGTTTGAGGGAAAAAACAACTTTAGAAGGAAATGTGAGAAGCTCACAAATTAATTCTGTGACATTGACGTCCAAATTCTACAACTAATCTGTACAAACAAAAACGGTCGTCCGTTCTACAAAGGAAAATTGGTTTAATTAAAAATATTGATCAGTACAAGTTAAAAATGGTCGTCCCTTCGAAATAAAAGAAATGACAGAAATTCAAATTGTAAAAAAATGGTAAAAGTACAACTCATAAAATAAGAGAAGTCCACAACATCGTTGTAAAAAAATGTTTAGTTCAAAAAAAGAATAAAAAACATTTTGTTTTTGAAAAAAAATATCATTTAGTTTGATGATATAAACCATGAGAGTACAAGGCCGACGATACAATAACATTCAGTTCAACAATAAAAACCATGCAAGTTCAGGGTTAGGATACAGTAAACCGTTAAAAATTTACGAGAAAAATATTACCCAAAAAATAAAGCAAAGCCTAGTTAGTGAAAACATGCTTAGTACAAATCCATGCAAGCATCAGTACAAGTATTTTTTTCGGAACCATTTAAAATTACTCTACAAAAAATAGCTCAGTACAAACATACACATATATTAGTACGACTACTCTGTTTTTCAAACGAGAAAACAACAGGATCCGTCATACCGTATTCAAGATTATTCTTAAACGTTTGCGAAGTAGAGAAAACGTCCAACATGACTAAGTTTCGCATTTTCGATAGCTATCCAACGGTATATTATTTGCCCCATTTCGACAAACTTTTTTAAAAAACCGCATTCAAAACCAATTTTAACCGTATTTGAATTCGTATTTAAACTGTAAGGAATTAGAAAAAACTTTCTATACGCAAAAGTTGCGTATTTTCCATAGCTTTCCAACGCCGTATCATTTGCGTCAATCCGATAAACCATTTGCAAAAAATAGTGAAAAAACATTTCGCCCAGAATTTCACCATTTTTCAAATTACTTTTAAATCATATAGAATTTGAAAAAATATGAAAGATGCGGATTTTCATAAGATTTCCAACGCCATCTCATTTGCTCAATTCCGACAAACCGTTTGAAAATTAAGTCCAAAATACGATTCATGTTCTCGGTTTTGA